ATACAAATACAAAACCATGTAGTATAGAACTGTTATATAAATACAAAACCGTCATACAAATACAAAACCACGTAGTATAGAACTGTTAACTTAGTATTTGCATTGCATTAGGTATTTTACATAGTCTAGAGATGATTTAAAGTTTATAGCAGGATGAGTTTAGAGTATATTGAAATATTACACGTATTGTATGGGAAACTGGAGAACAGGAGGACTTTGGTTTGCAGAGGTCCTGGACCCAACCCCTTCTGGATATTGAGGGGTGACTATGTATGTGTTTTCATGTAAATGAGTTTTCCAATTGATAACATCCTTCTAAAGTGATGTGGACTCCTTCTTGAAATTATGTTGAACCTTTCATTAAATAATGAGTCTTTGATTTTTAATAATATCTTTTTTTTCCTGCTAGCCCCCAGAGGTAATGCTGAAAGTTCGTCTAATAGACAAGTAAGTATGTTTGTATTTTACTCTTAACCATTTCCTTTTTAAATCACAAACAATAAAAATTCAGAGTTGTGTTGATTTGCAATGGTCAGTACCTTCCAAGAAAAGAAAGAATTCAGGGGAGGCAACCTTATGGTATCTCCCTGTGGGGACTAAAGCAGCCTCACAGAACCCTGTCCGAAATCACCAACCTGGTGATTGAAAAAAGGTTATTATTTAAACTTTTGATTATTAAAAAAAATTCCTGAATTCCCTTGTTTTGTAGATGTTTTTAAGAGGAGGGGTCTTGCCTTTTTGCCCAGGCTAGTCTCGAACTCCAAGGCTCAAGCAAACCACCTGGGATTGCAGGCATGAGCCACCATGCAGGGCTGAAATCATTTTAGCAATTGTCTGAGAGTTTGTAGTTTGGTTCCTGCATTTTGTTAGGGAGGCTTCAGGAACAGAAGGCATCCTCCGTGCACAGGTGGATTTCTGTGTCTTCCTGGGGTCCCAAAAAGACAAGCATTAGTCTCTGAAAGGGACTCTGGCCTCCTGCTGTGTGTTCACAAACACGCATCTGTTTCTCTCTATGTTTGCAATTGGAGGATGCACTCGTGGTGTCCTCCAGCACCCTGAGCCACAAACTATCAGATGTCAAGAACATTTTCCAGAAGATAAACATGAGTGGGTTCCCGTCTCTCTCCTCCAAAGCCAGGGCAAAATCCCACTTCTTCCCTACCAGTAGTCAATTTGTGATTTATTTTGTCTGCACCTGTTTGAAGTCAAGTTGCTATTTCCTAAGGCAAGCCCCTGTATTTGTTGTGGGTTTAAGTGGAGGCTCCAGCACACACCTTGGATGTAATTTAAAACCTTTCATGAGGAAAGATGTGTGATATGCTGTCCTTTGTTTAGCAAATATTTATGGTTTTCACTTCTTAAATCTCACCGCAAATCACTTACACTTTAAAACAGGGCTGTTCTGAAAGTAATTACCCTCCCTGAGTGCCAAGACCTCCGAAATGTTGTTTTCATTCCAGAACAGCATCACTGTACTCACGTGCCCCCGGAGCTCTCCGGCATCTGACATAAGCTCAGTTCAAAGCACACGCCTCCTGCTTCAGCCCTTTTTTTTTTTCAAAAAGAGAAACTGAAGCAGCTTTCCCCTCCCTTTATAGGGCCTGAGTGGACACACGGACCTCCATGCCTTTCGTGCAGTAGCTATTCCTGCAAACTGATGCTGGGATTAGGCCCTAATGGGCAAGCCAGCTGCAGCTCCTGCTGCCCTTGGCCATTGAAGGTCACCATGTTTCTTTGAAACATCTCAAAGGGTAACAGAGAGCCAGCAAGGCATTTGCTGTATGCATGGCCCATATCACAAGAAGGGCTCAGAGGAGGGTGCATGACGGTCATATGAAATGGAAAGGCGCACTTGTTCCTGACCTCTTCAGCTTCCACTGCAGCTCCAGAGCCGTCAGAGCTGTGTCTGATAGCTTAAAATGTTAGTCCACCTTCTCCTGCAGCGGCCCTGACCATCTTTAGTGACGGGTAAAATGCTTCGATGGGTTGTCTTTATGCATAACTGATTTAAACCTCAGGTTTAGGGTAGGAGGTAGGTTTGTCTTCTCACCTCTTCAGATCTTTATCAAGGGGAATAAAAGCCAACCCAGAAACCTCCTCAACTTTATAGTTATTTGAAATAATAAAACAAGAGTGGATCAACATTTGTAGGAATTGGCACTCTTGGAAAAATAAGTCCAGGAAACTGTATATTGCTTTTTTTTTTCATTCTAAATTGCTTTTAATTGAAAGTCAAGGTGCTGAATTACAGTTGTTTATCATTATAATAAGCAAACTTTTTAAGTTGGGTTTCTTCTTAAAGAGGCAAAATAGTGAACGAAAAAGATAAAAAGGAAAATTAAGAATCAACTATATCAAATTTGCCTTTATCAAACTTGAAGTTTAAGTTATATGATTAAAATTACTGTTGCATAATCAAGGTGATAAGACATTCTGAAAAACATTTAATATATTTAGTACTTGTAACATTTACAGTAGATGTTACTTTTTGAAATGATACATTTTCCTCAATATTTCTAACATGTAAAGGAAGGAAAGTGTGAAGATGTTCCCAGTGTCCAAAATGTCTTCATTGCTTTTCACCCATAATTACAACTCACAAGACCAGACCAGCCCTCTCTGGTTCAGTTCGTTCCCAGAGGGCAAGCCTGAGTCTTCACTGATGAGTAATGCACACCTCTTAATATAACGTCTCTCTTTTTTCTTTTCAGCCAAGGAAACAAGGATAAATGGCTTACACACCGAAGGCAGTTCCTAGACATGTGGGAAATTCCCTCACCAAAGAGCAATTACAAAAACAGAAACACATAGTATTTGCACTTTGTACTTTAAATGTAAATTCACTTTGTAGAAATGAGATATTTAAACAGACTGTTTTAATCTGTGAAAATGGAGAGCTGGCTTCAGAAAATTAATCACATACAATGTATGTATCGTCTTTTGACCTTGGAAATCGGTGTGTGGTGGAGATGTTGTATTCGAATGCATTTCGGCTGGATTTCTTCTTCGCCCTCCACGTTAGCTGTAGAGCTCTGGGCACTCTGCTTGCAATCCTATGGCTTCCCCTAACCCCTCCCTGCTGGCGCTTCCAGGCAGCCATGCTTACAGCATTGTGGAATCAAGTTGGAAGCTTCTCGTTTCCATGGAAGTTTCTCACACACGGCCGACCCTTCGGGCAGTTAACATGCAGGGGTTGGTTGGTTTCTCGGGATTTTCTGTTGGTGTGTCTTGTTTGGCTTTCCAGAGATCTTGCTCACGCAATGAATCATGCAAACACTAAAGCTGTCCGTTAAGTACAGGTGGTTCCCCTGGAGGAACTAAGATTTTCAAACTGTCTTTGGTGTGATACTTTGGCTCAAAGGATTTCTGCTTTTCCATTGTAAGCTTCTGTTTGATTTTGGCCCTGGGGCTTGAATTAGTCCTAGAGAGTCCTTTCTGCTGGTGGGAGGCTGCCTAGGAGGGGCCCATCCTTCCGAAAAGTAAACCCAGACCCAGTGTGACCGAGCCGGCTAACAGGCTCGTCTGGGGAGTTTTTCTCCTACACATGGACATTGTTCTCCTTGTCCTCCTGCCTGGTCCACCCCAGGGCTACCAGAAGGTAAAATCTTCACCTGAACAAATGACGAGCAGCTCCTTACTGAAGGCACAGTGGATACATGGTACCCAGGGGCGGGTGTCGGCAGCCCGGGAGAGGCGCCTGCAGGCCCCTGCCATTCCTCTCTGCTTATCTGAATGCATCGAGGTACAAGAACTTGCCAATGGGACATTCATCAGAGTGGCCCTGACAGAGAAGGACAGGTGTGGAATGCCCACACAGTGACCAATGGACTGGCCTGCGTGCACAGCCGCTGCCCTCAGGCCTGGGCTGGGCCTTCAGTCAGCACGCCCACTGCCTTTAAGGAACCGTTTGGAGAACAGTCAGGAGCAGGTCCTCCGGGTGGGGATGCCATCTTGGCTCAGACTTTTGGTTGGAAAAAATCTTCATGGCCCCAAATCCCCCGAGACGTGTCTTGTAGAATGATGTTGGCGGATGCTGCAGAGACACTGACTGAGGCTTCTGACTTATTTAAACCGTGCAAGGGAAAAACAAGGCGTTGGAGCCACAGGAAGCTCAAGTACATGCCTGTGCCATTAAGAAACAGTGATGATCCGCAACTTTTTGGATAATCTTTTATATTTCTGATCTTTGAATTTAATCATTTTTCTTACATTAAAATAAAATATGCTATTGAAACATATTAGTCTTTTCTTTCCAATGACTTTTATCATTGCCTAATTTTACAGGTGTCCACTGTAAGGGAGGGAGAGGCAGGGCTCTGGGCAGAAAGAATTGGAATTCTGTCTCTGTCCCTGAGCGGTGTGTGACTTTAGATCACCCTGCAGTTCCCACCTGGGATGTGGGGATGCTGGTGGAGGCATAAGCCGCCTCCTCCCGTGCACGGGAAGGGAACTGGGGGTGTTCACGTATGCCACACACATGTTTGTGTTCGCCTGACCGCGTGGGAGGTGGTCTGTCCATCACTCCTAACTCCACATGGTCCAGTGCTGCTTGTGTCACCCAGTGCTATGGGAAACTTCAGAAGAAACAAAAAGTGTCTTATTTTGATTAAAGCTGGCGGCTGGGGACAGTGGCTCACGCCTGCACTCCCAGCACTTTGGAGGCTGAGGCAGGTGGATCATTTGAGGTCAGGAGTTTGAGACCAGCCTGGCCAACATGGTGAAACCCTATCTCTACTAAAAATACAAAACTTACCTGGGCATGGTGGCAGGCGCCTGCAATCCCAGCTACTTGGGAGGCTGAGGCAGGAGAATCACTTGAACCTGGGAAGTAGAGGCTCAGCGGCCTGGAATTGTGGCCCTGCACTCCAGCCTGAGCAATACTGAGCAATACAGCAAGACTTAGTCTCAAAAAGAGAAGAAAGAACAGGTGGTGCCCTTCTGCAAGTCACAGAGCTAGAAGCCCGAGGATGCCTGAATCTGCCCCCCGCACCCCCGCACACACCCCACGTCCCTGCCTCCCTTAGGCCTTCGTATTTCCCTTGGGCTGCTGTGGTAGCTTCTTAACCGGACACACTTCCTCCAGGATTCATGACTGCCTCTTGGTCCTAAGTCCCCGCCAGCCCACCCCAACCCCACACGCAATCTTCTGTCTATTCAGAAAAAGAGTGATCTTTGTAACCCTGTCTTAGCGTTGGTGATGATCAATTGTGCAGTACAGACAGTGCTGTGAAGGGCGTTGGGAGAGGACTCTGTCAGGGAGAGCGGCTGGCGCAGGTGGGGCTCGAACTAGGATTTGAAGAGGCGGGAGAGGATGAAGCGTCAAAGAAGTCGGAAAAAGCCTGAAAAAGGCAGGAGGGAAAGGGAGAGGGAGGCATGCAGCCAGTGCAGGGGTTTCTTACTGCAAAGTATTAAGACTGCAAATCCAAACCAGAAATGTGTTTCTCTCACGTAGGCCGTGCGGCTGTTTCTAGTGAAAGATGCCTCCTACCCCAAACCATCCTCCACCCCCTCATGGCCGAAAAGGCTTTCCTGCATTCTTGTCAAAAATATCTTGGTTGGAGATTTATTTTAGAATTATACTGAATAATTCATAAGTCACACCCATCACTGCCACACCAGAAATTATTTCAATTATCAAAGTGAATGTTTTCAGCTTTTTTTGGAATCAACGTACAGAAATGACCAGCATGGTCATAAGCTGCCAGTTGGACAATCGAACCGTGCAAACAACAAAGCTACTCAAGAAAGACAGCGTGGGCCGGGTGTGGGGCTCGCACCTGGAATCCCAGCACTTTGGGAGGCTGAGGCCGGTGGATCACCTGAGGTCAGGAGTTCCAGACCAGCCTGGCCAACATGGCAAAACTCTGTACTGAAAATACAAAAAATTAGCCAGGCGTGGTAGGGGGCACCTGTAATCCCAGCTCATCGGGAGGCCGAGGCATGAGAATCACTTGAACCTGGAAGGCGGAGGTTGCAATGAGCCGAGATTGAGCCACTGCACTCCAGCCTAGGGGATAGGGCAACACTCTGTCTCCAAAAAAAAAGATAGGAATATCTGCAAGTATACAATGCTCATTCATCTTTGTCTTCATCTCTGTGTGTTGTCTGAGGTTGGTCAGTCTCGTATGGCAGTCTGGGCTCTGCTGAGCTGGCTCTGTGCTTCAGGATGGGCACGGTGGTCCAGAGTCTCATCCTTTTGGGACTCGTGGGTCATGAGGGGCATGTTCTTTGACATCTGTGACTAAAACGCAGGAAGGTCAGCTGGACTTCACAGGGACATTCCATGCCTCAGCTGTGACCTGTGTGCAGCTGTTATCTGCTGGCTGAGGTCTTTCCCGTGGGTCAGAGTGAGTCACAAGGCTGGGGCGGGGAGTGGATACAGAATGCTCCCTCACAGTAATGAAATCTCGCCAAACTCCTATCTACACAGGCTTGTCTGCTGAACCTCCTACTGACAGCAGAGAGGCCGGGGAGGCGTGCACACTGGTGCAGAGTCAGGCAGATCGTGGGGTTACGCCAACGGAACAGGGGCCTCCCAGCTGACCAGCAGCATGACCTGCAGGCCAGGGAACCCCAGCCTCCTTGATTTCAGCCCCCAGACCAGAAAACAGTGTCTCTGACATCTCCCCCTCAGAGTTCCTGTGTGTGGATTGGAGATTGTAGGTGTAGAGCCTGATGTAAAACAGGCACTCGAGAGATGCCATCAGGAACTCAATGTGGGTGTCAGAACCCTTCTGTATCAAATGATTCTGAATTTCCACTTGAAAGAGAATAAAGGACAGGGAAAATTGAATCCACAAACCTGAGCAATACACATCAGGCTGAAATAGCAGGTCTTAAGCACCAGCAGAAGGAAACCTCCAAAGGTGATAGGGGAATTTTATGCTGCCTCCTCAGAAGCGTTAGGAATTGACTTCACTTGTAAGAAATAGAAAATGGAAACCAAATCCCAGAGGCCTAAGTCCAGGAGTTATTTTTCTCAGTTAACAAGAAGCCAGGCAGAAATCAAACCTGTGTGGGGATCCAGCCAGCAGCACCACCCTGTGCCCTGTCCCTCCTCTCTGCCCTCCATCTGCCGGTGGGAGGCTTAGCTCCTGCACCCCAGCCCCTCCCCTCCATGCCATCCACAGGGGAGGCTTCACCCCTGCACCCCAGTCCCTCCCCTCCATGCCATCCACAGAGGAGACTTCACCCCTGCACCCCAGTCCCTCCCCTCCATGCCATCCACAGGGGAGACTTCACCTCTGCACCTCAGCCCCTCCTCTCCATGCCATCCACAGGGGAGAATTCACCCCTGCACCCCAGTCCCTCCTCTCTATGCCATCCACAGAGGAGGCTTCACCTCTATACCCCAGTCCCTCCCCTCCATGCCATCCACAGGGGAGGCTTCACCCCTGCACCTCAGCCCCTCCTCTCCATGCCATCCACAGGGGAGAATTCACCCCTGCACCCCAGTCCCTCCTCTCTATGCCATCCACAGGGGAGTCTTCACCCCTGCGTCCCAGTCCCTCCCCTCCATGCCATCCACAGGGGAGAATTCACCCCTGCGTCCCAGTCCCTCCTCTCCATGCCATCCACAGGGGAGAATTCACCCCTGCACCCCAGTCCCTCCTCTCCATGCCATCCACAGGGGAGGCTTCGCCCCTGCACCCTGGTCCCTCTGCTTCTGTGGAGGGAGGCTTCATCTTCATGCTGCCCAGAGGGCTCCTGTGTCTTTATGCATCTGACCAGACAGGACCCAGGGTGGAGAGCGGGGGCAGGAAGCAGATCTGGGGGTGGAGAGCAGGGACAGGAAGCAGAACATGGCAAGTTTCATGACTGTAGTTCCCTTCCACCCCCTGCCCCCAATCCAGGCCCATCTAGTGGAAGTCCGATGAATTTCACTGGCCACCAATGTCTCTTCTTGGCGTCTCTGGCTTCAGAGTTTTAACTGGATATTTGCTGCCCAGGGCAAAATGGGAGTTCTGTAGGCAAGGACGGAGAAGGAGACGAGTATCTTGTTACTAATGTTTAACTTTAGAAAAAAATATTTTGCTTCCTTATGTTAAAGTTGAAATCATGCTCAGTACAAAGAGTTCTTACAGTCACCAGCAGCCTGCTCTTAGGTCGCCTTTTCAGTCTCCCACGGCTACTATGGGGGAGGAAGGTGTCTTTTTATTGCTTCTAGAGCTCTTGAAAGTGTGACTTGAGAGAGATCCAAGATGGCTGATCACTAGCAGCTCGGGATTGTAGCTCCCACTGAAAGCGCAGAGAATGAGAGGATGCCACACTTTCAGATCAATTTTTGCTGCTCATGCACCAGGTGATTCCCAGCGGAGGAGCCCCACGGGTCGCCAGCGTGACTCTTGAGGCCGGTGAGGCGGTTTTGCCGCTGCCTTGGTGCGGCGGTTCTCGGTGCAGAGTCAGAAAAGCACCATCAATCTTAACGCCGCTGTTTTGGCCGGCTCAGTGGGTTGCTCAGATTTTAGCGCCGGGAATCAACAAGTTGGACGTCCACTCAGAAACCCAACTATAAAGACGGTAATTATAAAGACCACAGATGGATAAATCTATAACGAAGGGAAGAAACCAGCCCAAAAAGGCTGAGAATACCCAAAATCAGAACACCGCTCCCTCTACAGGGGATCACAGTTCCTCATCAGCAATGGAATAAGGCCTGATGGAGAACGAGTGTGTTCCATTAACAGAAGCAGGCTTCAAAAGGTGGATGATAAGAAACTTCTGGGAATTAAAAGAACTCGTTCTAACCCAATGCAAAGAAACTAAGAACTTTGAAGAAAGGTTTGACGAAATGTTAACAATAATACACAATTTAGAGAGGAATATAAGTGAATTAATGGATCTGAAAAACACAACATGAGAACTTCGCGAAGTATGCACAAGTTGTAACAGTCGAATTGATCAAGCAGAAGAAAGGATATCAGAGGTTGAAGACCAATTTAATGAAATAAAATGAGAAGACAAGATTAGAGAAAAAAGGATAAAAAGGAATGAGCAAAATCTCCAAGAAATATGGGACTATGTGGAAAGACCTAATCTACGTTTGATAGGTGTACCTGAATGTGACGAAGAGAATCAATCCAAGCTGGAAAATATGCTTCAGGATATTATTCAGGAAAACTTTCCCAACCTAGCAAGGCAGGACAATATTCAACTCCAGGTAATACAGAGAACACCACAAAGATATTCCTCAAGAAGAGCAACGCCAAGGCACATAATCGCCAGATTCACCAGGGTTGAAATGAAGGAGAAAATACTGAGGGCAGCCAGAGAGAAAGGTCAGGTTACCCATAAAGGGAAGCCCATCAGACTCACAGCAGATCTCTCAGCAGAAACCCTACAAGCTAGAAGAGAGTGGGGGCCAATATTCAACATCCTTAAAGAAAAGAAATTTCAACCCAGAATTTTACATCCAGCCAAACTAAGCTCCACAAGCGAAGGAAAAATAAAATCTTTTGTGAACAAGCAAGCACTCAGAGATTTCATCACCACCAGGCCTGCTTTACATGAGCTTCTGAAAGAACCACTGCACATAGAAAGGAGCAACCAGTATCAGCCTTTCTAAAAAATACCAAAAAGTAAAGAGCATCAATATAATCAAGAATTTACATCAACTAATAGGCAAAACAGCCAGCTAACATTAAATGGCAGTATTAAACTCACATATATTATTATTAATTCTAAAATTAAATCGACTAAATCCCCCAATCCAAAGTCACAGACTGGCAAAAAAAGCCAAGACCCATTGGTATGCTACATCCAGACCCATCTCACATACAAGGATACACAAAGACTCAAAAGAAAGGGATGGAGAAAAATTTACCAACCAAATGGAGAGCAAAAATAATAAATAAATAGAAAGCAGGAGTTGCAATTTTTGCTGATAAAATGGACTTTAAAGCAACAAAGATCAAAAGAAGCAAAGAAGGATATTACATAAGGATAAAAAGATCAATGTAACAAGAAGAGCTAAAGATCCTAAATATATACGCACCCAATACAGGAATACCCAGATATACAAGACTTATAAAGAGACTTGGACTCCCACACAATAATAGTGGGAGACTTCAACATCAATATCAGGCAGATCAATGAGACAGAAAGTTAACATCGATATCCAGGATTTGAACTCAGATCTGGAACAAGTAGACTTAATTAACATTTATAGAACTCTCCACTTTACATATACAAAATATACACTCTTATCAGTACCACATCACATCTATTTACAGGTTTCAATGAAATGTTGGCTGGCTGCTTGTTTGTTGGTTTCCTCCCTCATTTTTTTTTCATGTCTCTATTATTAAACACAATTACAGGCATACCCATTTTTAGACTGCATTCTAGCCGGGGCAATAAAACAACACCCCCGTTCTCTCTTCCTCTTCCTCTTCCTCATTCTTCCTCTCCTTCAATCTTTTTATTTTTAATTCTTTCTCTTTCTTTCTTTCTCTCTTTCTTCTTATAAAAATAATAATAATTTAAAGGAGCCATACAAATATATAAAAAAAAAAAAGAAAAAAAGAAA